GGCTGTCCTATAAGGTCTAAATTGCCCCGATCGATTCGTCTCCCCTTGCTGCTGAGTCATCACAAGATTCTTTCTTATCCTTTGGAGCATGTAGAGCCTTGAGTATGTTATGTGTATCGAGTCGTTAGTGTACCTCACGTCTTGAGGTATGAGGAGTCGACATTGAGTACGGGCGAGTCGACTTGAGGTCCTCTGGTTGTTCGGAGGCTACGCTCTTGTTGACTCTTTAAGTAGACGTCGGGTATCAAGGAGTCGACTGAACGAAGTCAACCTCTAAGAGTTAATCTATAGGAAGTCGACCTCTGGGAGTCGACTTTGTAGGAGACATACCGTTTCTTGTGACCATTTAATGGGAAGTCGACTTGATGGAAGTCGACTTGAAGATGTCGACTGGTATATGCCGACGTGTGGGCGGCCTAACCGTTTGTCCGGTTGACTGAAGGGTATTCGGGCCGGTATAACATAATATGACTATATCAAATAGTTTGTAATATATGGGTTGCTATGCCTAGACTTTTTCAAGTGGTTGGCCTGGCATAACTGAAGTTGTGCATAATACTCAATTTTTGTTTTTGCTATGTATTTCTTTGTTTGATAATAAATAATGAAGTCTCTCATAAGAAGGTAGGTCAGATTTTATTAATTGTTTTGGAATGTGAATATGTGGATTTACAAATAAATCTAATTATGTTTTTTATCTGACTTGGGTTTGAAGTAAAAGTATAGGATTGAAACGAAACTATCCAAATCAAGACTCGAACAATCTTATGAAATTGGAATTTAAAAATTTGAAAGGATTCCTGATTTACTAGTATTTCATAAGGTTCTTTGTTTGATTCTTAATTTTGATAATCTCATTTGGATTTATAAATTTTAACCAAAAAAAGATCATGGATACTATACTAAGATCGTTTATATACATTCTTATCTTAATATTTAATATGTATTTAAAATGTAATGAGTAAAAAATGAAATAAAAAAGTATCCGTCTAAGAAGTTATTTATATATTAAATTTGATATCATGGGACTAAATTTATCTCTATATATTTATTTGATACAATAAACTAATCAATATAACCTAAATATCCATTTATTTTGTCTATCATAAGACAATAAGTAAATATAGCAACACATGGTAAATGTTGGTTTGGGTACACTCACAACAGGTGGACACTGACGTAATTACTTTATTAGATGAACAAAGTAATTGCACAAGCACAATATAGACCAATATACAACCTTTCACTTATCAAGATCAAAACACCCTAACTATGACACTCACACACTCTTTTACTTAGACTCTTGGATATTTGGATTATTGGGGATGGTTTGCAAATGAAGTGGTCTTGCCTATTTATACCCACCCCTTTCCCTAAGGAACTATCTAGAACTACTCACATTCATGGGGCTTCCCTAACACTCTTGCCCCTTCTAGACTATTCTAAAAAACTTAATAATATTATGTATAATGTTTTAGACTCATCCACACAAGTCTAGTTCCTACAATATTCCACAACCTTCTTGTATTCTCTATTGCCTTCTATAATCTTCTACATCCTTCAACTAGCTTCCTCAAGCTTCTAGATCCTTCTACAATATTCCAGAACCTTCCACATTTTTTCGGGTCCTTCTAGATGCTTCTAGAACCTTCCACAATGTTCCACGACGTTCCACATTTTTTCCGAATTGTTCTAGATGCTTCCGGGTCCTTCCCAAAAAGAGATGTTGATATTTTAACACTCCCCCTCAACACCGACTTTTGCTCGTTCGTTGTTCTCGGCCACCTTACGTCGAGAAACGCATCTCCACATAAGTTTGAGCCGGTAAATATTTTCCTCGTGTGCCTTGGGCTTGGTACTCGTACTCTCGCTGATCTATGGGCTTGTGGACTCTTGACACTTGACTGATCTTCTACTCTTATCCAATGCTCATTGACTTGCCCCTGACTTATTAGGTCCTCTTCAACTCTATCTTCCTTTACCCGATTCTTTTTCACCACTGTCGAAGATTGGCAGCATCAAGTTGTCAACTGTCACCGGACACTCTTCACTATATTCTGTCGAATCTGGTAACTCTTTCATGTCTCCTGTTTCGTCACTTGAGCTTCCAAGATAATCTACCCACTCACCGACCGTTGTCGTTGAAGCCATCTCGACTTCTTTACCAGCTTCTTCTTCTCCAATTACGGTTGACAGTGCTTCAAGATCCCATTCATCTTCACTTTTGTGTGCCTCATCCGACGTGACTGCATTTCCTTCCGCTGGCTTCTTCTTCGACCAACAATTCCTTGCTATGTGTCCTTTCTTTCCACAGTTATATCATTTCCCTTCAAATCTTCTATTTTCTTGAGTTTGTCCGCTCAAATTTTCTTTTCTCTGTGCTCCCCCTAAATGAGCACTCCTCTCGTCTTCATATTTGTTGGCGTCGTTTCTTTTCCTCCAATAATAATTTTTACTGTGTCGACCTCTGGTATTCTTTACGAAAAGTAATTCTTCATCATTCTTGGATGAGGCTTGGAACATTTGCTTAGCTAACGCTTCTTGGTCAGCTAACAAATTTTCCAACTCTATGAGAGAAGGTTGAGTTGGCCAACCTTGCACGGCAGCAATAAAACTTCTATATTCTTGTCTCAATCCATGAATGATTATTCTCCTTATCTGAGAATCCGATATACTAGCAGAAGAATCTAATTTAAAGACTTCACGACAAAGAGAATTTACCTTAGCAAAATATTGGTTTATCGTAATGTCTCGTTGCGTGATGGATAGAAGCTCGTTCTCCGAAAGTTGCAACCTCGCGTCGTTCCTCTTCGAGAACAACCCCGCGAATGTGTCCCATGCGTCCTTCGGTGTCTTCGCGTCTCTAATGTGCTCTAGCATCTCCTCCTAGATCGTGGTCTTGATAGCGAACATGGCCTTGCCAGCTTTAACCTTCCATTTCTTCAAAGCTGCAGAGTCCTCTGGTGGTGTAACCTCACTACCACTCACAATTAGGGGTGTTCACGGTCCGGTTTTAACCGAAAAAAACCGTCAATCCGGACCGCGGATCGGTTAAATGGTCAGTTAAAAAATCCGGTGGTTAATATTTGTAAAAATCCAGAATAACTGGTTCGGTTAACGGATTACCTACAGCAAACTGCCGGTTTAACCGGACCGGACCGGTAAATATTAAAAAACTATAACAAATATATATATACATTAACTCATTCACTATGGCCGACAAATACAATACACTAACTATGAATGTTTTGCTCTTATTATTTCAGGTGTATAAACTGACTGAAAAATGCATGCTTGCTTGGGTTTAGTTTGCATAATTTAATCTTCATCATTTTTGTATTTTTATGTTTGTGGGACGAAATGTGTATTTTTATGCTTATGGGACGAATTGTGTATTTTTTATTTCATTATTGTTGTTTTTCTTAATTTTTAGGCCCAAATAATATCTTTTGGGACCAAAGTTAAAAATAAAAACTAAGCCCAAAATAAAAAAAATAAAAAAAAAAAAATTTAAAGGCCCAAAACAAGGATTTTGGATTTAACCGGTTAACCGCCAAACCGAACCGTCCAATGCGGTCCGGATTGTGGTCGGTTAAAAAATAAAACCGGTCCGGTTATGGACAAGAAAAAAAAATTAACCCTTAGGTCCGGTTTGGTCATGGTTTGGGCTAAAACCGGACCAATCCGGACCGTGAACACTCCTACTCACAATCTCCCACAAATCTTGGCCTTGCAAATATGACTCCATGTACGTCGACCACGTGCTATAATTTTGACTGTTAAGCTTCTTAATACCTCCGACCACTTGAAGGTCTTCCATCGTGGCTCCACTCGATCAACTCGCCACACACTCTGCAGTACTAAACTGCACACGACCTTTGCAGTATGAAACTGCAAAACTACGATCAAGAAGCTCGACACAACAACTCGTACCTCAACCAACGCCAGACTCCGCTCGCCTGGCTCTGATACCACTTGTTGGTTTGGGTACACTCACAACACGTGGACACTAACGCAATTACTTTATTAGATTAACAAAGTAATTACACAAGCACAATATAGACCAATATACAACCCTTCACTTATCAAGACCAAAACACCCTAACTATGACACTCACACACTCTTTTACTTAGACTCTTGGATGCTTGGATTATTGGGGATGGTTTGCAAATGAGGTGGTCTTACCTATTTATAACCACCCCTTCCCCTAAGGAATTATCTAGAACTACTCACATTCATGGGGCTTCCCTAACACTCTTGCCCCTTCTTGACTATTCTAAAACTTAATAATATTATGTATAATGTTCTAGACTCATCCACACCAGTCTAGTTCCTACAATATTCTACAACCTTCTTGTATTCTTTATTGCCTTCTATAATTTTCTACATCCTTCAACTAGCTTTCTCAAGCTTCTAGATCCTTCTACAATATTCCGGAACCTTCCACATTTTTTCGGGTCGTTCTAGATGCTTCTAGAACTTTCCACAATGTTCCACGACGTTCCACATTTTTCCGGATTGTTCTAGATGCTTTCGGGTCCTTCCCAAAAGGAGGTGTTGATATTTTAACAGTAAAATACATATAAAATTTGTTAAGAGACGGATATTTTCTTTGTTTGCAAAAGTCCCACTGGGAAGAATTTACTCATTCACATCTCCTTTTTAAATTCAAATATAATTTCACCCTTCATTTAAAACTCTACAAATTTTAAAACTATGATAGAAACAAAAGAGGTATAATTCGAGCTAGATTTATTAAGGCTCGAGATTATATATTTAAACCTCATTAAAAAAAATAAAAATATGAAATTTTTTAAAGTTATGCTCAAGTTCTATTCATTAAAACTTTAATTCAATTTATTAATTTTAATAAACAAGTCGAACTCAAACTCATTTTATTAAACTGAGTTGAGATAATACTCGAGTTTGAAATCCACTCTTATTCATACGTCTCACACATCTGAAAAAAAAAAAGCATGAAAAAAAATGTCATATTCACGCTGATTATTATTATGCTCCAAAAGCCCTTCTCTTTCTTTTCTCTCTCCTTTCGCATTCCGTTTCGCCCCCAACGAAACACGCACTCACACACACAGACACGCACTCGCAAATCATCCACCGCCCGCCACCACCGCCCTCGAGCTTCGAGCCCACGTTCTTCTTAGCCCCAAAATCACCTCTTTCTCTGAATCATTCTTCAGATTTACAGGTTCCGGAACCGTTAGCCTCTTCGCAAAGCTCCCTACAATTCCTCACCTCAATGTTTGCTGTTGGTTGTGCGCATCTGTGATTATTAATTGTGGGTTTTGGTTTGCGGGTTGTAATGCAGATGCGCGCGGCCGAGAAGGAAATGGACGTAAATTCGATCCCTTGTGTGTGAGTTCGGCGCTAGCATGCACCGCGTGACGGCGTGATAACGTGGGATTTGGGAGCTGGAGATTTATTTCGTTTAATTTGGGTGAAGTTAGGCGATATGATGGCGCATCAAGAGGTGAGTGTGAAACGGGAGACGGTGGCGCCATGCATGACTTGCCCTCTCTGCCACAAACTCTTTCGGCAAGCCACCACTATTATCGAGTGTCTTCATACTTGTAAGTGCCTTTATTCTTCCTTAATTATCTGTAATAGTTCTAGATTTGTGAATTTATTGGTAATTAAGTTGGGATTAGTTCAAATTAGAATATATTTTTTCTCCAGTTCGCGTCTTTCCCTGGGTTTTTGTGTTGCAGATTTGATTCTTAATGATATGGGTCTCTGTGTGTGTTCGTGAGATAATTTGTGAATTTGAGTTGTTAGGAGTTTCTTATTTCGATTTGGTTTGCATAGTAAGCTGTGTGAGCTTTTCTTAGTCTTTTGCTAGTAGGGATTTGTCAGTTTAATGTTTAGACAGTGATAAGTTTGCTAAATGAGGTATTCTCCTTTATGCTGTACGTGTAGTGTTATGATTTGCGAAGGGAATTTGAACAATTGACTGGAAGAGGTGAACTGTTCTCAGTATTCTTATTTTTATTTCTATTTTTTGTTTTATTTACCTCGTAAAGTAAGCTGCTTTGAGACTCTCTTTTATTAGAAGCCTTTTAATTTGACCAGTGCTGATCTTGGATGGAAAATGGGGACAAAGCAGTAGTAAATCTTTAACTTTTGTTTCAAAGCATGACAGAGCAATTTGAAGACTTTGGGGTGTCCTTGATATCTACTGATGTTTGTATTAAACGTGAAAATCATCTAAATGCTCAAGTTGATTGATATGAAAGACTTTTTATTGGTATAATAATATCTTAAGCAAACTTTTAGTTATCTTCAACAGTTTGTCGTGAAAGGTATACTAACGTTTTATGCCTAGTTATGTCCTGTTTCCGTCATTCGATGCCCTAGTTATCATCAGAATAGATTTATCTTATTTTCTTTTGATTTTACGTGTGATATCTTTAAGAATCTTATATCATGTTCTATGAATATTATTTAGTTTGCAGGAAATGCATATATGAGAAGCTCTCAGATGAAGAAATGGAGTGCTGTCCAATATGTGATACTGACCTGGGATGTGTTCCGTTGGAGAAATTGAGGTTAGAGCTTTTAGTCTCTTTTGTTACTCTAACTTGATCAAGTTGTTTCGTTTCTTACTTAAAGCCTCAAAGGATCAAGTATTTGCACAAGATTACGTAAGTTTGCATACTTTTATGTAGCTTTTTTTAGTCCTTCCCTGAATTGATATCATATTACGTGTCAAAAGCTTAGAGAATATTGCTTCTCTGTTCATGAGTTTTAATCATTATAAATACCTTCTCCTGTACGTTATTTCCTCAAGGTTCATGAACTTGTGGCTGGTTAATAAATAGACCAAATGGATCAGTCTGATTCAACCAAACTTGTTTATATGGCTGAATCTCTTAATGAAAATAGATTAAAAAGCCGGTTGAATCAGCTGTTCATTTTTCCTTAATTTTTTTTAAGCACTCATGGTTTTAGATTTTCGATATTCTGTTATTTCATGTGATTACTATTCTCTGGAAAATTTACACTATTATTTAGTATGATTAAGTAATTGGTATAATTGGTGTTTATTCTGAGTTGTTGTACATCTGTGGTTAATTGAGTTGTTAATTGGTTTGCTCATGTGGTCACTTTTTAGAGCAGGACTTATAAGTTCCAATTTCTAGCTACTACCCTAATGAAATATCTGGGTGTCTTGTTAGATCTATGCACATACATAGGCATATTAAACATATTATCAATGCAAATATGCTACTTCTTAATGTAGGTACTTGTACTCAAATTCAGTTAAACAAGACAATTACATTTGTGCAGTTTGTCAGGCTTAGATTATTTAGAAACTGTGAGAATGGCATATGAGACCAAAACATTGGTTTAGCAGAGTCCAAAGACTAAGGATTATTATCGAGTAAACTACATTTTGGTGTATAAACTTTTTATGTTTTTGGTTGGCATCATGTATTTAATGAAAATTGCACCTAAAGAGGAAAGGACATTGTTGCATATCAATCAGTCAGAGGCTAATCTGCCTTTGCAGTTGGTGACCTGTTATTTGCTCTTCCATTATATTTACACCACTGGATAACTAATGAATATATATTCGGAGGGGAAGGAAAAAAATTATTTATCTTTAGCCTTTAAAATATATTCTCTCAGGCCGGATCACAATTTGCAAGATGTAAGAACAAAAATATTTCCCTGTAAGAGGATAAAGGTGAACTCCCCTGAAGTGGTGACTCCTGTTGTGTTGCCTGCCAAGAGAAAGGAAAGATCCCTCTCATCATTAGTAGTCAGCACCCCAAGAATATCAACCCACACTGGGATGACTGGAAGGAGATCAAAATCAGTTGCAAGAAAACCATCCAAGGGCTCCAGTTTCACCATAGTTAAGAACATTGTTGATGATCCTCCTGAGAGTTCTGGCTCACCAGAGATGTTGAACAAATTAACTCAGCATATTAGGCAGGTAATGTATGTGTAATTCTAAATCTTGTCAAAAAACCTGTACATGACTCTTATATGTGCTCCATAGCCTTGTTCACATGTAAAAATGGTTATTTGCGCTGGAAATCCAGCGTAAAAATAGAAAACAACTCAATAACATTAAATGTACCATTGAGATTTTGCGTTTACCTCATAAATACCCTCGTTTGAGAGTCCAATTTGCAAAATAGAAATAAATGCTATGGGATATTTTAAAATTGAAGATTAAATGCGTCTTTTTTTGTTAGACTACGTCCCAAGGGTAGTTACTGTGAGTAATCGAATGTAAAAAATATGCACCTCATGCTTAATAACATTTTTGTTACAGAGCTCTGCCGTGGACGAGCCATCTAATGACCCTTGTGGTAATATGGGAAGAGAAAATCATTCTGAACTTTGGGATGGAAAACTTGATATCTGGAAACCTCTTACTTGTTTGGTAGAAGCAGCAAATAGGAGCAAATCTTCTAAGTCAAGCATGCAAGGTTCTGTTGTTAAACTCGAGGACCAACGTTCTTATGACAATGAGGGTCCTCTGGGGACAAATAAACATAAGAAACACCGTAGGAAATCAAAAGTCAAGGACGAGAAAAACAGCAGTGACAATACACCTACGGAATCTGAAAGACCTAAAAAGTTGCGGAAAATCCGTCAGAAGGCACGGAATTTTGGAGAATTCAGGGTTCCACCCGAGGTGGTTGTGTTAGATGCTGCAAGTGCTAAATTAGAAAGAAAAAGCTATCCGATTTGGTTCTCCTTAGTGGCCTCTGATGAGCTGTAAGCAGATTATATCAACCCTCGTGAGAATAAACATTGTTATCCGCACTACTTTAGCTCAGTGCGATAGTTAATTTTTTTTAATATATTTTCAGGAAAGGAGATGCTCCACCTCTGCCTCAGATTTCTGCAAGTTACTTGAGAATAAAGTTAGTTTTCTTTACCTTCTGTCACTCTAGGTATTAAATGGTGGATATTTGGTCCAGAAGGATGCATGTTGGCCTTTGGGGTGTTTTTGTTGGTTGCAATTTTTAAAGAAATATCATGCTGTAGAATTTGATAAGATCTCTTATGCAGTTGCTGGGAAAGAGAATGAATTACGCTTAGAAGTATTATCACTGTGGCATTCTCTCTGCAATAACGATATATGTGCTGATATGGTTCTGCATTGGGTTTTGATAATACAGTGCTATAGTTACTCTGGTTTGCTCCAAAATAACTTACCAAATACAAAATTTCTGGAAGCATTCAATCACTCTGCATGCAAATGGAGCCTTTCAGTGTCTGTCAACCTCTGTGCATTGGTTTGTGTTTGTCTGTGACAGTTTGGCAACTTGTACAAGTGTATAGACTGCATACTGTTATATTCCACAATCCTTGTTAAGATCAGTGACTATATTATTGGTGTTACACTGTTGCTCCATCAAATTTGCCTCAGTGCTGTGATTATTACTCTTTCTTGCTGAAATTCTTGTAGCATCTTCTGATTACCTGGTTTAAAGTCTGTGTAGCCAAATTTGTCCACTCATTTCTCTCCATTTACAACAGTTTAGCTGCAGAAAATTACTGAGATTTGTGTTGCTGGGCTGGTTTAATTCAGGCATTGTTTTTTCACTATGAGCTTGTGCTCTAAGTTGAGTGGAGTACTGGTTCATATATAGCTACACTGTAGCTGCTGTGTCAGTTTTTTCATTTACTTATGAAAAGGTGTGATTTTTTTCAGTTACTTATGAGAAGTGGTTATTTGACTCCAGAGGAAAAACGGAGATCTGAACTATATCATTTATTATAGAGCCTCTGATAATGCTTGTTGCAGCTTAAGTTGAATTAACAGTTTGTATATCATGATATAGTTTTCAGCATGATAATTGTACGGATTTTTTTTTTTTTTTTTTTTTCAAATTGCCTATGTCTCATCCTTCTAACCTTCTACTGCCTTATATATTCTCCTTTATGAAAGAACGTATACTTCAATTAGTTCCTATGCAACTTATCTTTCATTATAATGTTCCAATCATGGATCATGTGATAACTAAATGCCCTTTTATCGATAACTCATACATTCTTCACAGGGATGGAAGCATACCGGTTTCATTTATACAAAAGTACCTCCAGAGGAAGTTAGATCTTACCAGTGAAGTTGAGGTAACCTAATGACCATAGGTTAATGAGCTCCGACTTCTGTACCAACCACAGCTCATGTTTGTTAGACGTGATGCCGAAAACAGTTTTTGTTGATCCCTTTTATCTAATTTCATCTTATTTTGCTGAACATTTATCGCAAAGCTCCCTATTCCCTTATATAGGGATAATTACGAAAAGTATCTTCATGTTTGGCTTCCCCAAAAAAACAAAGGAAGTTGTCTAATAAAAGTTCCCTATTTCCTGTGTTATGCACTTATGCTCGTAGTAGGCGCAATTCGTATGATAAAAAGTTATAAGGACAAATTCGAGAGTTGGAAAAAAAAATGTATCTCTCTAGCTTTGGTTATCCCCTACATTTTCGAGTACTTAACTTTGCAACAATGAGATTTTTTGTAAAGCCTCCTGTGATCACTGCAGGTTGACATCAAATGCATGGGGCAAACAGTTGTCCCCTCATTGCCCCTTAATAACTTGGTCGATCTTTGGCTTCGAAACACTAATGGGGAGATAGTCTCAGCAACAGTTGGCTCTTCCGCTAAGGATTTTGTGATGGTGTTGGGTTATGCTCGCAGGCTAACCTGATTCTTGACAGTGCTTTATTCTTCCCCCATCTCTGAGTTCACATATTATTTAAGTTTCATCAAAGGGAGCTGTTCGGTTCGGTGTTGTCTTTGTGAGCCATACTCAGAGAGTTGTTGTGAAGCCAATAATGGGAATGCGTGATTCATTAGCTTTCTAGGATGAGTTTGATTTGGTTATGTATGTTCTTAAATCATGAATGTGGCATGTTGTATGTTTCATTCCAGTGTTGTAAACTATGACCCCTGTGGGATTTACATTTGAATATGTGTCTGAATTGACTTGAGCTTGGTCCACTTGGACATTTTGTACTAGAAATGCTTTGTTTGTGTTACACATTAGTCATTTAGTCTACTATAAAAGTTGCATACTAGAAACCTGTGATAAAAGGCAATGGCCTCATGAAGGGACTTGAGTGAAATTTGTGATGCTGTAGTCTGAAATTGCCCAGGTTTTATGAAGCTTTGGTTGCACGAAAAGGTATAAACTGAGACGAAACTCACTCAAATTTGATGTAGTAACAAAGTTACATAGTATATGAGCATGTGAAGGCCTGGCTCGCGAGTTATATACAAATCGATGTTTTAAACACCAAAAGGGCTACCACAATAAGTTTCAGACTAAGAACTCCACACAAGAGCATGGCAGATCCTCAGATAAATTTGCAGAGGCACAACACAAAATACAATTACAAAGAAAAAATACAATTCACATCCGAACAAACCCAAGGAAGAACCCAATGTAGCAAATCCCTTCCTTATTCAACAAACTCTTTACATAATTCAAAGACATTAAGCCAAGCCAACATGCCTCTCCCACCTCAGATCCTCAGAGAAACGGGTAAGGGCAGCTCGAGGGTCGCCATTTGATATAGACAGATAGTATTGTGCGGTGCCATCATCGACTTGCATGCTCCTCCTCAAAGAGTCCAAAACCCTCTTTTTGCCTCTTTCGGTGGACAGCCCACTCAAAAGCCCGCTGACATTTCTGTCAGGCCCAGGCCCACCATCAAGGTACAGTACAGCAACCTCTCTTTTGGATTGGGTATCAACTTCAATGTAGCATGTGGAATCCACCAGGATTTCGGGTTTGCTTACGGGGATAAGGAGTCGCTCCCTAGAGTATATTCCATGGTCACTCATCATGTTGTTCAGGCGCTTTATGTCCATAACCTGTTGATATATAGGAAAAATTCATTCAGTAAAGAATTGCTTGTGATGTGTCTTTATGATTTTGAATGATGAATAGGAGTGTCAACGAGTCGAGTGGAATGGAACACTCTGATGAAAAATTCGAGATTTAAAAATTGTGTGAGAATGATTGTTTAAATTCAAGAAATTGTATTCGAGCTTGAAACTCAAATGAACTTGCAATTTGCAAAGATTATCTCGTGTTGAGTATTAAGTAACTTGACTCTCTTCTCAGCATACATACAAAGAAGCTTTGAATTATTATAAGAATTCTCCTGAAAGAACAACAATATTAGGAGTTGGGACACATGGTGTAAGCAATCAATCCAGAATCTTTCATCTTAGCTGAACCATGACAGACTTTGATGTACAAATGCGCTTCAGGCTCAAAAAGCCATCAGCTAAAGTACAAATCCTAACGCAGAGCATGCAAAAAAGTTCGAGTATACTGTATTATCTACATATTCTCTACCTCTGATCTATAACTAAAATTTTAAAGCTATGCCGATCATGACAAAGGTTCATAATTTTGACATTTTATAATGTAATGAGAACCATTGTATTATTTGCTCAACCTGATCTGTAGGAACATAAAGGTAAAACCCTCTGGAGTTCAAACTGAACGTGCCCATAAACCATACAACAACAACAACATAGTCTTTTAGTCCGAAGCAAGTTGGAGTAGGCTAGAGATGAAACCAAGAGAACAAATGGTAAGAGAAACACAAAAAAGGCTCAAAATAAAAGGAAGAGATTGTAGCAAAAAGAGAAATGAGCAAAAGTCACGGTTCTGGCACGTTGATTGCTAGCCTCCAAGCGCTCCTATCCACCGCTAAATCCTTGGAGATATTCCAACCTTTAAGATCTTTCTTAACCGACTCTTCTCAAGTGAGTTTAGGCCAACCTCTGCCTCTTTTTACATCATCGACCCGCTGTAGAACTCCCCTACGCACCGGTGCATCAGGAGGCCGCCGTTGGACATGTCCGAACCACCTCAGCCGATGTTGAACCAATTTCTCCTCAATTGGAGCCACCCCGACCCTATCTCGAATATTCTCATTCCGGATTCTATCACTTGTGTGCCCGCAGAACCAACGCAACATACGCATCTCTGCTACACTTAGTTGTTGGACATGTTTCCTTTTTGTAGGCCAACATTCAGCATCGCCGGGCGAATCGCCGTCCTATAGAACTTACCTTTTAGCCTTTGTGGCACCCTTTTATCACATAGAATGCCCGAAGCTTGACGTCATTTCAACCAACCGGTTGCAATTCTATGTCTAACATCAACATTAATGCCGCCATCCTTTTGTAGCATCGATCCTAAATACCGAAAAGTCTCCTTCTTGGCCACCACTTGCCCGTCAAGGCTAACGTCACCATCATCATGTGTAGCTATGCTGAAAGCGCACGTCATGTACTCGGTCTTCGTCCTACTAAGTCTGAAGTCTTTCGACTCTAACGTGTCCTTCCACAGCTCTAACTTCCTATTTACCTATGCCCTACTTTCGTCAACTAGCACCACATCAAGAGCAAAGAGCATACACCAAGGATATCACCTTGTATGTCCCTTGTGACCTCATCCATCACCAAGGCAAATAAATAAGGGCTCAATGCTGACCCCTGGTGGTTCTACTTTAATTGAAAAGTCGCCGGTATCGCCCCCACATGTTCGGACACACGTCATCGCATCCTTGTACATATCTTGCCCATAAACCATAAGTCTCAGAAATTGCAATATACACCACAAATTATCAAAAGATTCCTCATATATAAGAAGAAACTATGATTCATGACTTCATTGTTCACAGGCCACAGCCTCTAACGAGCTAATTACAAATTATTATGCAATTTCTGAATGCATCTTCGAATAATTGGAGCAGCATCCATATGATAACACTATGTGGAGCAACTGTTAACACCCAGAAACTTAGATGAGCTAACTTATAAATCAACTTTCCTTTTCATGATTCTTGATAAATTCTAAGACAGACTGAGAAAAAAATCAATTTATACACACCATTAAAAAATGCCAAACTCATAGTACTCGAACATAAATTATCAACCACTACACATAAACTAGCACCGATCATAGGTACATGACAGTACCTGAACGGAGTACTTCACAGCAAGGCTGGCCACGGAGTCCCCACGAGATATACGGTGAGAGACGGCGAATCTCGAGATGGAGTTGTCTCTCCAAAACCCACCAGAGCTAGGTTTTCCGATGACGTCCCGAAGCTTCCAGGGTGACATGAAAGCGCGAATCTGGATGTCCCTATCGGAGGCAACAGACCGCCAGAGGCGGCAGACGCAGGCAGAACGAGCTAGGTCAGGAAGGGACAGCTTCTCCAAGATGGTCTGGAGAGTGTCCTCGCATAATAAGGCCGAGAAATTGGAATTCATCGGGGAGATTGTGCTGTCGTTGGCCGCGCCGTGCGCGCGGTAGCGGAGACATGCATTCAGCGGTTCGAGGAGGTCCGAAGGTAGCGCCGCCAGGGACGGCAACGGTGATCCGCCGTCGCCGTCGTCATCGTCGCCGCAGCAGCCCATCGGATACTCTTGATTTTAGTATGAGGAGTGTGTGTGTGTGTGAATCTTAGCCTTATAATTTTTCAGTGGGGAGTAATTTTGCTACTTGCGGTCTACATGACCGACTGGTTAGTGATTTGTACTCAGAAAAAATCAATTGACAGTGCTCAATTAAGAAGATTACAAGTAAAATGGTTACATTAGAGGAAGGGAATTATTATTTATTAAAAAAATTACATTAAAGTTTACCTTTCTACATTTTGAAAAAAGTTTCCCGTTCACACCAAAAGAGAAATGCTATTTATTTAAATCTATCTATCTATATCTATCTATATATCTATCTATCTATACTATTATAAAAAGACGAGTAATTTAATAAAAAGGACGAGTAATTTTGTAAAAATAATGATCTGCCTAAAAAGTTCACATATTTTTAATGGCAAATTTGTAATACTGTAATATCCATCTTATTTTATTTTTTTAATTAACAAATGAACTACCTAAAAAATACTTACTTTGACTTATTTTTAATGGCAAATTAGTAATACACTAATACTCATCATATCTTATATTTTTAATCAATAATTAATATTTAGTTAAATAAATATAGATTCACGAACAAAACATTCTAAATCTCCTAAAAATCAACCTCAACATTCTCATACCATTATTCCTCACGAATTTGTTTCTTTCACATATCTGCCAAAATGCTTCTTTCATATCTCCAAAAAATCAACCCAGCTGTGAAAAGATATATAGTTGATATTTTGAAAAACAACTTATTTTTAATATAATTTTAATGTAAAATCGTAATTACTTTAGTTAATAACAAAAACTACTACATGAAATTAAGTTTTAAAAAATACTACGGTCAGACATTCTACAGAAAATCGCAACGAATATTCATTGGTATAGCGATTATATACACAATCTAACAAACTAAAAAAGTGGATCAATTCATTTAGTTACTTCGTTATTAAGAGAAATACACTCTTACATTTGAAAATTGCACCTTATATTTATTGAATTGAATTTTTATCCCACAGAAAACGTTATTTATTTGTTTGTTTGATTATTTTATCCAATTTTTGTCACAAAGACAATAAAGTTGACGAATTTTCACCTGACCATTAGATGAAGACCATATGAAAGAACAATATAAAGTACAAAAATATTAAATTTGCCAAATATTATAAAAAATATAATTAAGTTGTCATACTTACTAATAAATATGAAAAGAAGTAATAAATAAAAATGTTATAATTAATAAAAATAAACATAAACTTTTAAAATTGTACTTATCGGTGCAAACGAACTGAATTGTTCAATGCTTGTTATTTTTTTGTGCTTTAGTTCTATGTGTATGTTTTAGGTAATAGACAATAGTTATTTATACTTTTATCCATGTAGGTTAGAACTTTTATTTTTTAAATTGTACTTATCGGTGCAAACGAACTGAATTGTTCAATGCTTGTTAATTTTTTGTGCTTTAGTTCTATGCGTAAGTTTTAGGTGATAGAAAATAGAAGTTATCATCAAGATTAAAAAAATTAAATTAAATTAAAATGGTGAAATTGTAATTTCTAGATTCATCATGTTTTCTTTAGTAGTAAAATTGTGTTTATCTTATAACTTTAATAAAAATTATGAGTTGAATTGAAGTAAAATTGGTTAAGTCACAAATTAATTCATTATTTATCTTTATTTCTTTTAATTTTATATTCAGAATAGGGGGTGTGATTAAAATTATGAAAAATGTTCCCACAATTTTTGTTATATACATTATGCTCTATGTTTTGGGAAGTGGCCATGTGTTGACCGTATATTTTTGTTATTATTTTCATTGAAATAATTCAAATGAAAGCAATAACATTTAAGTATTCGTTAGAACTGTCGTTGAAATTCGATTGTAATATATTTTTCTCGAAATTGTCGTTAGAATTTCATCATTTTTTTGTAGCAAAGGTACTTCTCCAAATCAATAAAAAAAAATTGCGTTATATATTTTATTGTGTGCAATTAATTTTTTTTTCAAGTGTGTAATTAATTATTATGAAAATTGTTGATACTGATTGAATATATAACACATAAAATGTAATTATAATTTACTTTATTATAATTAGTAATTTTTTCATAACAAACAAGATACATCTAGGTTAAATGTTCTTCCCTATTTTATTAGTATTATAATAACTAAACAAGAGTTAAGAGTGATGTTATATGTAATACAAAATTAAACTTTACAGTGCTCAAGCTTATAGTTCGCATTCAATCCAAAAGTAAAAAAAAGTGATAAAATTCATTAATGTCATCCATCAGTTGGAGCTGATTAATGAGAAATATAAAACACACCTAAGATCAACATTTATTTTAAATATAAATTTTGAGTACATAATTTTTTTTTTCATTCAAAATAGGGATATTAGTATTAATTTTTTGGTTAAATATTTCATTACTTTGTAGCATTAAATTTTTCACTTTTGAAATACTTTATATTTTTTTATTTGTTATCCTTTTATATGTAATATATCACACCATTTCTTTCCAATAATGTTTGATTTGACTGTCTATTGTAAATAAAATAAAAATATTATAATTATTTCTATCGATATAAAATAATATACATACATCAATTTAAAATAATAAATAGACCTAAAAGCATCTCATAAAATAGATTATAAATCCATGTTAAATAAATATTATTAAATATAAAATAGCATAAGATAAACGTGTGGTATATTTTTCTTACATAGATTTGAAATATTTATGCTTCAAAAAAAGAAAAAAAATAAATGTAAACTTACACTATTGTCAATTTTAATTATGTGAATTAAAAAGAGAAATAAATGAGTAGTATGTTGAACTATTATTCAATACTTCTTGAAAGGGAACACCATAATCGTTGTAACATATACTTTTAAAGAATATAATATAAAAATGAGTTACTTACATAATGTTTCATCAAACATTGAAAAAAAAAATGTAAACTTTTTAATCTTATAAACAGTATAAAGTACAATTTTATCAAACATATATTATTATAAATAAATAGATAAGTAATATTAAATTATATTTTATCTTATGTGATTATAGTTGTAGCCTAATAAATTAGATACTTTTATAACAATATAATTATATAAAATGTGTAAAAAAATTAAACAATACATATAAATATGCCCTAATTCTTTTAACAAATAAAATATTATTTGTGAATACAATAAAAAACAAATAAAAAAATAGTAAGGGAATGAGGAAAAAGAAGTCTGATTTCTTTTTTAGAGAAATATGAATATCAACATCTAGAAACAAAAATCTTTGCTAATTACTACATTTTTTATTACTGGCGTTTAAATTCTCATAAATATTGATCCTATATTATAAATTTTGAATTTTTAAATAATTAAAAGAATAAAAAACTTTGTAATACATAATGTATATTTTAATAATGATTTTGTGATAATAAAGTTCACAGATGGTGAAGAGTATTATAATATAATAGAATTTTGATTTTTCTTCTCTTTAATATTTTAACAAAGGATATGTTTCTCAATATTATATCGTTGTTTTTTTTTTTTATTTGTTAAATAATCAAGAAAAGATATTTATCATAAATTTTTGAAATATTATGATTGATGCAAAAATTTGGACAATAAAAGCGTCTGAAATCATTGGAACAACCAAGATGCTCAATGATTTGCAAACAACATATTATATAGTTCGTCTATCTTATAAATAAATAACATTGAAAAGGAAATGTCGGGGCATGATCAAAATATTATTGAAATTTTGAATGAAGTTATCATATTTTGATAGAAATATTTACAATTCACATTGGTGTATTGTGCTCGAACATATGTGCAATTACTCTAGAATATATACTTTCATGGAATGTATGATGATTTCAAAAAATAATTTAGTTCCATGTAATGTGTGATGATTTAAGAAAAAATAATTTAGAGTCTCGGGAGAAGTATATGTAACCAAGATTTTGAAAAGTCAACTTTTATTTGGAAATGAAACTCATTCTCACCCCGTGGGGAGATGCCTGAATGTGGGAGGTGTCAATTTGTCTATATGGAGAGAGAATAATGAAGTAGTTTGAATAAAAAATATATCAACAATTTTAATGACACGGTTGATTATTTCACGGAGATATTCATAAACTGTTATTAACAATATCTTATAAAGATCATAATCATAGAGTTTGACTATATGTTTAGACAAAATATTTTACATTGTTTGAATAATGTAGATTTTTTGCCTAATGAATTAAGAAGAATTTGTTTATTAATGTATAGAACTCGAATGGGTACGTATGTTTTTTTATGAGAACGTCTCAAAACTAAAATGAAAGAAAATCACTCTTGAATCATCAAACATAAATAAATAAAAGAACTAATGCATTTATATTATAAATTATGTCTTTATTTTGTTATTTAGTGTCTTTTTAAAAAAAATTATTGACTCATTTTGTATATATTTTTGTTGGGATTATAATATGTTATTTTATTCTCTTTATATTAGTACATCGTTATGTTGTTTTTGAAAAAACAATTACATTAAGACCTCATTTGTTCTACATTTTATTTTGTTCTTGCAATGATATGTTTAATAAATTAATTAATTTATTTTACTAAACTTAATTGACAAAAAACATTCGCCACCACGTGCGATGCACGTGCACTTTACTAGTTAATTATAAATGACATAGTTTCAAAATTGGTGTGAAATTGAGTTATATTTATCATTATTTCAACCTTCAACGAGACATTTTCATCTTAGTTTCAATTAAAAATGAAGATTAAGTTCATATTTAACAATTATGTTATATGCAGTCACTATCATATAACAATTTTTCCCTCAAATCGTATTGATCTTGCTACAACAACAAAAATAACATATGCAATTGTTATTCGAATCTAAATAACAGTTCGCAAACACACCTTAGTAACGCACTGACACTCTAGCTTGGCTTGTTTGTCAAGTCAAAACATCAACCTCCTTCAACTATGATAAATATATCTTTTTCTCCAGTTTTGCTATGAAATCATCGGATAATACAAATTATGGAGTCATCCACACTTATTTACAAATAGTGTATTGACATGTGTCCTACAACAAATACACTTTGAACATGTGTCAATACATTAAACGATGGATGACTCCATAAGAAA